ATAAGGCTAAAAGCGACTCCTGGAAGACCTTCGATCTGCATCAAAATCAGTTTTGAACTTCTCCTGATTTCGATCACGATTACGTCCGTTAGAAGACATTGAAGAGCCCAGTTGATCATCTTCTTTTCTAATTTTTTATTCATAATGATTGTGGACATCTGCCCATGTGGTTGCTTGAAATTCCAAAAAACTTTCCTTCAGTTTCCTGGAGGCATCAAAACTCAGTAGATTGAGATCTTTGGTGAACGTTTCAATTGCCCACTCATCTGGTACTGCCGACAACAACTTCTTTCCTTCTAAAATCGGACCTTGAACACTCTCAATAGTTTGTGCAAACCGACAAGGCTGCTATGGACAACTATATTTCAAAACATAGAAGCCGACAAGGACACATACTATCCAACTATACGTGACTTTCTACATACCTCTAATAGAGTGTACAACTGTATAAAGGACGGTACTAGGCCTCTCGTACCAATATATGTGTACAAAAATATCATACCAAAACCCAATAGCAGCTCCGTATCAAATGGAGCACACCAACTCTCGTTGAGCAAGGATCCTAAAAAGGGGGACCGTCAGACTGTCTACCTGCACCTCCAAGCATGAAACATAGGCCCCCAGGCAATAGGGGCGTTAGTACGAATAATGTACCAAGTATGTAAGACATGAAAGTTAGTATATAAAAGACAGGATAGAACCATATAGCAGAGGACTCAATATGTAAGTTTGAACAGCTCTATGAATCATGAAACATTTATAATGTAATGTTGTGCGTATAAATGTCATATCATGCATAGGTATATGCGTACATAACATCATCAAGCCTCTATCGGCATTCCATCATATCATCTTGGCCTTAGTGGTAAGGTATGCGTACATATTACCCTCCCCAGACCCCACTTGTGGGATTATACTGGGTCGTTGTTGTTGTTGTTGTTGCATCTTGGCCTCAGTGGGCGAAATCATCAATGTATACCAGTTGATCAGGTGGTGATGCGTATATAATATTGTAACCTTTCCCCATACCCCATGTACATATAATATACGCATATATAATGCTATCTGATCATGGGTTAATGTACATGTATAAATGAAAGCAATGTATAATGAAGTAAGTCAATAAGATCTCTTGGAATGTCATAAGATCAATATGCCTTCGGTTAATATCACGAAATAAACTTTACCAACTTACGTATTTTCTGAGACCCGTGAATGGACGATATAATAATAGGACACATGGGGAATAAAAAACATAGGCACCCCTAGTACTTCTCAGAATATTCATTTGAGAAAGTTGTGGGTTTGCTCGTTTTGTCTGTATCATATGAATCATGCCAAAAGGAAAGAAGGGATAGCCTTAACATACCTCAAGTCGTCAATGCAACTCAACAACGAGCTTATGACAAATAGTGTGCCAACCCTATAATAAAGAAATACATGTACAACTTAGATGGCGCTAGTATGTCACGTATCTCAAATGATAACTCGATTCTAAAATAAAACAGGCAGCATTTCCTTTACTTTCTCTTAACTACCCTACATTCGGCAACCAAAACCCACAACAAAGACTTAAATTAATTCCTTTATGAACTCAATCCATCAATATACATGAGTATACACCAAAACAATCCGATCTACGCTTGTATACGATATTCTTACACTTTTCCTTAATTTATATTCATGTAACGCAGACACAATCACATCACCACAACATCAAGTATCTGGATATACACAACGAAACTCCTTCAATAACACATCAATACGCTCCCACAAACCAAATTTTTAATCATAACTTTCGACCTATACTTCATTCATCAATAACAAAACAATGATCCAAATGACCTCAAATACACGGAGAAGCGTATAATATCACCTTGAACAACAAGAACAACAACACATATACATATTTATAACTACATTTTCAACCCTTCAACACTATCAAACCCTCCTCAAATACACTACAAGAACCTTTATTTCTACATCAAGAAGAATTCAAAGTGAATTTCTCCAAGTAGAAGATAAACTTATCTAGAAATATTATTGAATTCTTACCTTAATTATTTGAATAAAGGGAATAGGATGAACTGGATATAAGCCTTCCCAACATCCTTTACAAACAAAACCTCCAAACCAAGAGGAAAACTGCAAGATAATTGCCTTAAAGAGGGCTGGCCGTATGGTGCAATTGTAAGGAGCTTCTAATTGAATAAGAGGGTTCTTATATGTATTGTATAACGTGCAACAGCTCGTAAATGACCTCCTTCAATTTGAAGATTTGATATATATCAATTTGCAATGGCTAAGGGGCCTTGGACGGTTGAAGAGGCAGCATTTGTCTTTACTTGCTAATAGATATTTTACAAAAAATACATATATACACATAAGCACCTGAACATATCTTTACTAATTATAGGACCTATATTATTCTAATCATGGGTATTATGCATATTTACATGGTATATGTTATTTTAACATCATAACCAATCCTCATTAACTTTCTAAATTATCGGCTTCTAATCTCTTTCAACATGTACTTTGCACTTGTTAAACATGGCATAAATATTTACAACCTCAAGGATAATCTTGGACTTTTCTTCATTAGCATGAGCTTTAATGAAAGAATCTACAAGCATTTCAAAAGAATCAATTGAATGATTAAGTAAAAGAGAATACTAAGTTAAAGCAACCTTCTTTAGGGTTTTGCCAAATTCTTCAAACGATAGATTCGATCTCGTACGGGTCCAAGTCATTTCCTTTTACAGCCGTAGTATAAGTTGTAACATGCAGTTGTGGATCTGAAGTCTCATCATACTTCGAAATATCTGGCATCTTTAATCTTTTCGGAATCAGCTCCGAGGCCGTACTTGATTTGAATGGCACTTGTGTATACTTTTTTGAATCTGGATCCTTCAACATCGGTGGTGCTCCCGAGATTTGATCCATACTAGCATGGAATTCCTTAGCATTTTAGTCCATTCGTTCATTCATTTCTCTCATGAATCTCATGAGCTCAGTTTTGAAAGGATCATTAACATTGTTGTCGTTCTGGGATCCACTACCTGCACCACCTGCCTCATTTTCATTAGCACCAAACTCTTCCCTCAAAGAGATGTTACCGGTTCTTTGCAACGTTTGATTTGCAGGCACGCTGGGAGGGACTTAAATTCCTCCATTGGAGTTATTGGAAGCAGTCGAAAGTGCATGCTTCAACTCCGTTATTACTCGGTCTTGTCTTGAGAGATGCTTTATAATTTTCCTTTGTTGCTCCCTCAAAATTTGACTGTTTCAATGACATGCTCATCGTTCATATCATCAGGAGTTGGACTTGTGACATGTCGGGGATTTTTTCTCATCGTTATCATCAGGAGTTGGACTTGTGACATGTCGGGGATTTTGTTCTTCGTGAACTAGAGTTATTTTGTTTCCTTTATTGCAAGTATCCCTAGATTAATCATCACGCTGGAACATATCCTCACGCTCGTTGTATGCTCCAATATAATTGGAATTATTCACATCGTTAGCTGTCATATCTGATTTTTCCTTTGCTAAAGAAAAGAATCAAACTGTGTCAGTAATTGATGAATGGATCAAAGTAATTACACAATTGTCTATGCCCCACGATGGGTGCCAAATTGTTTACTGGTAAAACGGTACAGTGGAATTTGTAACATAATTTATATTCATGTGAATTAATTTGATCCAAGAATATAAAATAAGTAAAGACAGAAATAAGATTGTTAAAATAACTTTAAGAAATACAAGCATGGTTGTGGATTTAATTTCTCTAGAAGCAGTAACAAGAGCAATATTAAGAACTGAAGAAAGAGAATAATTTGATAGAATGAGAGCTGATTTTAGCTTTGAGTACAGAATATTTCATGTTCCATAATGAATATAAATTCTCCTATTTATAGCTCTACTTAGGGAGACAAGATCCCCAAATTACGCTCTTCTTTAATGTGGATAAAACCCTTCTTGATGGATGCATAAGGACTGAGCATTAATACATAGATTATTTGTAACGGATGCCCATTCAATGTTGTCTTTTCCAACCGATGTCTTCCTTTCAAATGTTTGTTCTCGGTTCCAATATCTTCATAACTCATTCAGCACCAGTCATATGTTTGTATCAGGTGCCAACTATTTGTTAACTTATATCTTACCTGTCTTCAGTTTCACCTGTCATCTTGTCGTTTATCGACTTGTCGCTAATCAATTTTACCTCATACACCTTATACACGACAGCAACAATTTTGGTGTGGGTGGTTATTTCTGTGATAACTTTTCTTACTTATCTCTTCTAATCGGGTTGGATCAGCCACATGAAGCGATACACAACCTAGTCACATTTTCCAACACAAAGAACACTAATAAATCTTTGACAAAATGCCAAAAGTTTAAGTTCTAGGCCAACTAATTCAAAATCCAATTTGAAGATATAAACAATGGATAGGCATGGTAACATAGAGAATAGCAGAAACAGAGAACATTTTATATGATTAATTTTGAAAGATTATGACACAAATTACTTTTTAATCAAAATTGTTACTCTATTTCAATTTAGATGAGGTAGTTTGACTTGACACGAGTCTAAAAAAAAGGAAATAAGACTTTTGAAACTTGTGGTATTTAAAGCATAAGGATAAAAACTTTGTGGGACCATAACATTTATGTGGTTATAAAAGATTCTCATTTAAGGTAAAACGAATAATTTAAAGTTAAATTATTTTAAATTATAAAAATATGTCATTCTTTTTGGAACAAACTAATAAAAAAAGTGTGTCATTAAGTTTGGGCCCGAGCTTAACACGGAGTACCTCTGCCACTAGTATGCACATAATCGAGACTCATAAAAAACATAACCAACTACCTTAGAGACCGTTATGAATAAAGCTGAACCAAAAACCCAAGAAACATCCCACACCTCTCTTTCTTGGTCAAATATACCCGTAATATTTTCCCTTTCCTCTTTCCAAGGATCAACCTTGTCTGTTTTCTTTAACAACTAAGTGATAATAATCTTTCAAAAGTCTGATCCACTTTTGGGTTTCTGCTATCTCTTTACAGCTTGTAATTACTATGCATCCTTGGGCATTTTTTAGAACACCTAAGCCAGCAATCCGAGGGCTTGCCGCTCATAATCCAATATTTCGTTCCATCTTCACCAAATCGAATGGCCACCAATTAAATGTTGGGTCCGGCGGTTCTAATGGATATAGAAAGAATGGAATAGTTGTTGAATCACTGTCTTCTGGCGTCATTATTGCTTGCTCAACCTTAGCGCTCTATTATATTTCATTCCCTTCTCATAATGATTCTCATATTTGTTATGCTAATTCTGAAAGTAGAGGTGAAGAGCTAGGGAAAAAGCCGACTTTTTTATTTGGAGGTATTGAAATTAACATATATCAAAGTAATAATTATTTTTATTCATTTTTTTTTTTAATTTTCTTCAACATTTATGGTTTTTTCTTTGCGTTATTTCTGTATTTTCAGATTCATACCGAAAAAAAGTTTTCTTCAAGTATGAGAAACGGCTGAGAGTGCAAAGTCCTCCGGAAAAGGTAGAGATATTAGTTATTTGGTACATGCATCAATTATTACGGCACTATTGAACATGTAATGTTAATATGTGATAAGTACAAATATAATTGTTGATAAAGTATGGGTGAAGTTATCCATCAAGAAGGGTTCTGATTCTTGACTAATTTTACTTCCCCCAAGGGTTAAAACTTGCGTAGGAAGCGAGACAATGTGAAATAGCATGGAAAGAAATTTTATTTTGTATCTCAAGCAACTATTACCAACAGAACAGATCAATCAAGTGATAGTAGTAGTTTTTTCCTAAACAAGGACGGGCGAGTAACGATTAGCCGAGGGTCCTTTGGGCCCAAGGAAATAGATTGTATTTAGGTACAAATAAGTCGTGACGAGTAGGCAAGGTACAAGAAAGCCTGCGGGTGAGTGGAATGTATGGAGTTGCTCCCCTCTTAATCACATGTCTCAAGTTCAAATTCGAGGAATAGAGAAACTCTTGGTAGGTATAATTTCTCTTTTAATGGGCCCTATGCTGCACAAATCACAATTAGTCGGGCCAGTAGTTTCGGATACTGCATGCATAGAGAAGAAAAAGATAGAAGACGAAAAAACTCTCAAGCATACTATAATTCTTTAGGCAAGAACTTTCTACAAACTCTGCATTCTGAGCACAGTGTTGACATATTACTCGTGATACTTGGTGGAACTGGAGGGACGGTGTACAATAATAAATTAGTACCAATGTGATCTCAAATTTGCAGTGATATAACTGACTTTATTTATAGAAATAACGTTTAAGCAATTAAAACGTAAATATGTGTGAAATTATGATTCTAGTATATATCTATTTAATTAGTTATATTTCTTTTTATGTTGGTTCCAGGTATTTGAGTACTTTGCATCTTACCGAACTCCAAGTGGCGAAGTCTATATGACTCCAGTAGACTTAATGCGAGCGATTGTTCCGGTGTTTCCTCCATCAGAAACAAGTGGTGTTAGAGGGGGCTATCTTAAAGGAGAATCAGCTTCCAGCGACCTACATTGTGCTCCTTCCCAATTTTTCATGCTCTTCGATACCAATAATGATGGACTTATATCCTTTCCAGAGTAAGTATTTACCGCTGCGGATCGGATTTGCTCCAGTAGAAATAATCTCAATCTTGCTATTCCTTAAGGCCACATGTCTATGGTATTTGTTAAAGGCTAGGATCCATCTTAATTTATTGTCCATATTAATGATAAGAATCATAAAAGAAAAATAAGTAAATAATTATTAAGGGGAAACAAATAAGCAAATGTTGTATTGCTGAAATTTCGAAATGTGCCGGTTTTTTCTTGTCTATTTTTTAATACTTTATTCATATATTTATTTATTTAATTAGTTTTTTATTTTGAGTTTTGTTTGCTGTTGAGAACATAAGTATTATATATGTATTGTTATATTTGTTCCCTTATTATGTTTCTCATTGTAATATTATGTGTTCATATAGGCAATTTGTATCGCTAATCTTATTTTTATTAATTACTTTTTTACTTTTGTTATAAAATATTACTGTAAAAATAAAGGAGGAGACAAACCTTTCAAAAGTTTGGCGATCAGCGCCATAACAGTTGTTTATTTCTTTCTCCTTCTATTATTTTCTTTTTTTGAAAATCGTTAATAGGAAAAAAATTAATTAAAGAACCATCCTAACCTTTGAAAAATACCCTGGACACATGGCTTTAACTAAAATAGCATAAAAATGAATCCAAGCTACTTGTACTGGAGCTAGTCCTCCCAACAACCCGTCAGAAAAAAATAGAAAATGAAAGAAGAGAGATAAAGCTTTTAACAATGCGATCTTGGGTGGCAGAATAACCCGATAGACACCTTTAATTATTCAGTTTTGATATTCTGATTTCTGGCTCCCCTACTCCATAAAGTATCAGCCAAACTACTGAATTTATGCATAACTTTTAAATCCCTCTGGCTTTGACCAAGTTTATGTAGCATTTTTTTTTTGCTAGTGAAATCAAATGGTTTTCAAATGAAAAGAAAAAATAATTCCCCATCACCATTTTCTTTTCAATCTCCCCTATACCGTCCCTGTTGCGGAAGCCAAATGTATAGAGTGTGAATAAGTCACAACTACTATACCAAAAATTATGACAGCCACCAAATAATAAATAAGACAATAAAGCAATAATAAAGGGAACACCAGAATTTACGAGGTTCGGCTAATTCTGCCTACTCCTCGGACACAACCAAATATTTTATTCCACTCCAAAATACAAGTGAAATAATACTAAAGAGAGAAGATACAAATGCCTTAAACAGATGAGAAGGCAAATGAGAGGTGTGTCTCAATCCTAAACATTAGGCCTTCTTTTATAGGGGAAAAATCCCCTCCAAACTTAACTCCCAACCAATGTGGGACTTTGGCATTTTGCCAAACTTCAACAGTCCCTTCCCCCAACTCATTTTTGTTCGACAGTCCCTATTTTCCTTTCCCCTCCTCCTTCCTCCCTCTCCCTTATTTTTAGCTGAGTGGGTTTATTGTCTTGCAAGGCAGGTATTTGATAAAATGCCCGGAAAGAGATATTGTATCTTGGAACAACATCGTGAATGGATATGTGAAAGTGGGTGAATTAGTTATTGCGCAACAGATGTTTGATTCAATACCACGGAGAATTTAGTTGGGTAAAAATATCATGATAGCTGGGTATTGAATTTGAATAACCCTCTAACGTGCCTAAAGTCATTCTGAGAAATGGCACAGAGAGGATTGGATGAGAACGATGCAACTATAGTCATTGTGCTTTACTATTGTGCTTGGTCAGCTCGATCGAATGAACAAAAGAAAATCTGGTCATGGGATCGAAAATTGGTTCGACATTCTTAAAAAGGTGAAAGAACGAACAATATGGGAGTGGGGGTATTTGTTAACAATTAACATGAAGGGTGAGAAAGAGTATGAAAAAAGAGAAAGTCAAAAAATAAAAGGGAAAAGTCAAAAAGGTTATATTTTGGTTTTATGCAAATATAAAAAATGGCATGGCATATTTTTATTTGTTTGCGGATTCTGACATTAGGTGATTGAGGGATAATGTCGGAGGGATTTAAACCACCAGTTTTGAACAAGTTCGTATCTAGCTGAAACTCTATGGGATAGAATGTCAAAACCGAACAAGTAGAAGCGTTATCAGACTATTTTACCATCTTGGTTTAAACATACTTCAACAATTTCTAGTTCCTATCATGACCTATAGATAAGGTGTAAGCAAGTTGCCGATTCCATTTGAATGCTAACTGAGCTTATTGAAATTCTCTCTTGAAACCATGTTTATCTTTTTGGATCAGGTACATCTTTTTTGTTACACTACTGAGCATTCCAGAATCGAGCTTTTCAGAGGCATTTCGAATGTTTGACCTTGACAATGATGGGTATGTCATTTTGCTGATACTCAAATCTGATTATCCTGTTATCCTTTTCGCTACTTTGGTAAGCTGGTTTGCTATTGTGATACCCTTAGGATTTTTATTGTATAAGAAGATTATGTGTACTTCGTTAGTAAATATTCACTTTTGTAACGGCTAAGCAATGAGCTTAAGGAAGCGACATAATTAGTAAGGATTCATATAGTCAATTGCTACTTCCTTGGGATTGAGCCCGTAGTTATTGTTATCGTCTTGAAAAACTTTCATGCATACATGATGGAGTCCAATTTATAATGACCCATCAATGAAATTTTTAGAAAAAACAAGATTCACCTGTCTTATAGTTGTTTTAGAACTTCTGACTAGTTTCATGAACAGAGGAGTTGACAAGGAAGAATTCAAGAAAATGATGGAACTCATGCGAACTGCTAATAGACAAGGTGCTCGCCATAGAAATGGACTTCGATTTGGACTAAAAGTTACTGGTTCCGTAGAGGAAGGAGGGCTCTTGGAGTACTTCTTCAGCGAAGATGGAAATGGGCGCCTTGAGCAAGAAAGATTTGTGCAATTCTTAAGAGATTTACATGATGAAGTATGCCTTCCTTTAACTTTCTATCCCAAAAATACAATAATCTAAATTCATTTAATTCGCAATACCTTTCTAGATAGGATATTGTAGTTGTTTATTTTGTTCCAACCTCAATCCCCTCTTGTGAATTTCAGATACTACGTTTGGAATTTGCACATTATGACTACAAGTCACAAGGAAGCATTTCTGCCAAAGATTTTGCTTTATCAATGGTTGCATCTGCTGATATTAGTCACATCAATAAGTTTCTCGATCGAGTAGAAGATCTGGATGATAAACCACATCTTAGGGATTTACGCATTACATACGAGGAATTCATGAGCCTCACTAACCTACGCAAAGAACTGCAGTCATTTTCTCAGGTCATCTTAAGCTATGGGAAAGTAAACGGACTCTTGTCTAAGCAGGAGCTAAAAGGAGCTGCTAAGCAAGTATGGTCTATAAAAGCTCTTCTATTCCGTATTATAAATTGAGTTCTTTCATATTTTGACCAACTTTACTAATAATGATTCATGTCCTACCAGGTTTGTGGCATATCCCTTACTGATAACGTGGTAGATTTGATATTTTTCATGTTTGATTTAGATTGTGATGGGTCTTTAAGTTCAGATGAGTTCTTAAGAGTATTGCAAAGAAGAGAGCCAGAGTGTTCAGAACAAAGAGAGTCAGGTTTCGTGAGCTTCTTCTCTGGCTGGCTGGACTCGACAAAAAGTAGTTTTGCTTCCAAGACCACTGGCTAAAGAGAATGATTTTGATTTACTAACACCTTTTGACCGTTGAGAGAATGATTCAAACATAACAGATACTGATAAAGATTGTAGGGAATCCAACATTGTGGGGTGTTGAAATTTCAGATTTTTTAAATCTATGCATTGTACAATATCTGCATGTAAAATAATTCATTGATAAGCATTGAATATGTGTTGTTCAACATATCAGAAAAGTGATGTTATCATATTTTAATCATTTACTGACAAGAACTGTTCAAAATTAGCCAATAAAAAGTGAAGGTTTTCGAACTCAATTACAAGAGTAACTACAAACAGACAGATTAAAAAGAACAACAAATAGTTCAATAAGGTACATTGGTACTTTTCTGTGAATAAATCAGTCACAAGATCTAGAAAGTGCATAGAATAGATTTGGATTTAATGGAATATATATTTTCATATTTCTTACCATTTCGTCAATTTGAATCTCACTCAAACTACTGATATGATGCATAGCTTTTCCAATGGCCAACTGAAAGGCTAGTGGATATTGTTTACCCGCAAAATCAGATAACAATTGAATTTATAAGTGATATTAAGGATATGTGGATTAAATTGACATAAAGCGATAAGTTAATTATAATTAAAAGTAACGAATGATAAAGTAAGTTCAAATCGTACGAATTAGACAATAACTTCCTTGGGAGAAGGGTTCCCCTTGCACAATAAGTACTTCGATCACAGTCAAGACACAATTGAAATACAATTTAAAGAGAAAATAACAGTATATTGCTTTTGACTGGATGTTACAATGCCTTTTATAAATAATCAGACCCCCTTTTTATAGTAGGGAAGTCCTATTTTAGGTACAATTCTATATAAGGTAAAAAATTCTATGATTTGCTAATTAGTCGGTTTTCTCATTGATACGTGCCGAGATTCCCACCGTGATATCTGACCGGTCATTGATATTTCAGCCTTCAGTTATTTGGTCCGACAATGTTTCCTCGAGCTCATTCGGAGTCGGAGTCGGTTCCGAGGTCACGGACTCGATGATCTTGAAGACCTATGTTCTAACCTCGTACCTTGGTTCAATGGAACCCGAGGCAATAATTGTGATCCCATAAAATCCACGCGTTCGCAGAGGGCAATAATTTTTTATCCCTACGTGATCGCAGAAACAGAGATGCGATCGCGCCCTTTGATAAGTTTGTTGTATGTGAACGCAGGTGATTTCACGCGATCGCGATTAATAGGTATGTTCAAAACCTTAAAACACTTGAAACAAAAAAAATTGGGACACCCACTTTACCCCAAACAAAGAAACGATTTTCTCATACTCCTAACTCTTCGAAAACCGTCTCAAATCCTCTTCAAACCGTCTCAATGGGCAGGCCCCTATTGGGCAACCTCGCTTATGAGCGAGCCTAGTTGGTCGAGATATAGAGCCTAGTATGGTCGAGCGCCTATGAGCGAGCCTACTACGGCAGAGCAATTATATATATATACTGAGCCTACTATAGTCGAGCGCTTATGAGCGAGCGCAGTTGGTCGAGATACAGAGCCTAGTATGGCCGAGCCCTTATGAGTGAGCCTACTACGGCAGAGCAGTTATTTATATACCGAGCCTTATAGGGCCAGACAGTTAGAGAGAGTTGAGTCAGTATCAGCAGGTAAGCATATTTTCAGATTATCTTTGACCTCCAGCTACTTGCAGTTATTATATTATCAGTTCAGTTTCAGCTTTCAGTATATTGCCTTACATACTCAGTACATTATTTTGTACTGACGTCCCTTTGCTGGGGGCACTGCATTTCATGCGTGCAGGTCAGACAGACAAACGGGTAGGCCTCTTCAATAAGTGTTGCCCTAGTTTAGCTTGATTGGTAAGCTCCATGTCTTTCGGAGTTTCCGGGTCTAGAGCCTTATTTACATCTTGTATATATATGTATATATGTTATGAGTAGGTCAGGGAGCTGTTCCGATCATAGTATATCCATCAGTAGAGGCTTGTAGACATATCCTGTTAGTTAGTGCAATATGTTGAACTTGCAGACCTTGTATGTATATTTGGTTGGTTTGTCAGCTGTAATAGTTATGACGGCCTTGTCAGCCAATTTAATATTGACATTTAGTCAGCATTCGTAGTTATCTTGCAATGTGGCCCATGGCCAAAGTATGACATCATATGTTCAGAGTCCCTTAGTTGCAACTTAGTACGCAAGGATAGGTGAGGCACTGGGTGCCGGTCTCGCCCCCCAGGTTCGGGGCGTGACAAAAGTGGTATCAGAGCAGTTCTGTCCTAGGGAGTCTACAAGTTGTGTCTAGTAGAGTCTTGTTTATGGGTGTGTCATGCACCACACTTATAAGCAGGAGGCTACAGGGAATTTAAGACTGTCATTCTTTCTTCTTACTCTAGATCGTGTAGTAGAGCTCACTTATAAGAATTCAAGTCCCGAACTTCTATTTTTATTCATAATAAGATGATGCCTACATTCAAAAAGATGATCGATAAGAGATATAGCTGTGGAAGTGTTGAATTAGAGGAACTCGACTTTGTATCATGCTTAAGATAAGTAAATGTGAGGTCTTCAGCAGATCATGTGCGTACTGAATGGTGTAAGCCTCTTGATAAGAAGCCTTAATGCAAGAATGCCTATCCACCTTTATGGTGAAAGTCAATGAGAGATTAAGAAGATAAATACAAGTTTCAACAAGCAAAAGAAGCAAGATAAAGAAGGGTATGAGGCGCCCAGTTAACGAAGGTTAACAGTGTTTATAATCCAAACAGAGGAACATAAGCTTTTTGAGTTATATTCAATAGTAACGGAGGTATATACAATTGGTCGCACCCATTCCAAATATGCCCTATGAGGGTTAATAGAAGTAGTATAGGAAGATATGATGGATGAATTTTTTGTGTCAGTTGACAGTTTCGAAGGATATTGCAAATGTGCTAATAGATCTCCTTGTGAGATACCCAGATGGTACACTTTAAAATAGTGCAGCCAGATATGATTACTACAAAGACATGCACTATAAGACTTGAAGGGATACATATTACCTTAGTGTGGCTCGCATCCCCAGTAAAGCGAGAACGTTAAGCAACTTGAAGAGCCACTGGATGGAGCAAAGGGAAGCTAAAAGCAAAAGAATGTCTTGTTCGAGTTTTCAGAATAAAGTGATAGGCATAAATGTTAGTGGGAAATAAGAAAAGAGTTAATGAAGCATTATGAGTAAGATATGGTACATGGATGACAACGATAGATCAAAAGATGACAATATTACAAAATCTATAGTCAAGTGAAGGAAGAGACGAGGGGTGACAGGCCTTAGGACAACAAAAGGGTATAGGCCATACAATCATGTCCTCATTTCGAGAAATAGGTTTGCAACTCTAGCGTGATTACCAAGTGGAAAAGTTAGACCCCAGAGTAATAGAAATTAGTATGGGCTGGTAAATAAGATAAACTAAATATGAATTAGGGACTGAGTGATTTGGTAATTGTCATCATCATGAGAATTTCAGATCGCATTCCGACAATAATAGAATGGACAACAGAAGAAGGCTCATGAGAAATTTAGAGAATAGTCATTCAGAAAGATGCTTCCATAAAGCAAGCAATGTTAGCAAAGTTAAGCTTAATGGATTGTATGTACTAGTTACATTAAGTGTCACCCTCGCGAGTAAGGGAATTTGTCATCCTTGGTACAGAAGGATTGCCGCAAAGCGAGTAAGGATCATTGATGTTGAGAAACAACGCTAAAGGTGAAGAGGTAAAACATCTATAGGTAGATCCTCGTGGCTTCATCTCTTAGTACACCCCTAAAGGGGGGAATATGGAGTGATGTGACATTAAGTCAGAATTAAGTGGTTCTAGTGACTATGAAATGGTAAAGGAAGAATGCGATAAATGAAAGAGGAATGAGAAGACACTTATCCAAATCTTATAGATATGCTACGATTCAAGAATATTGTGCAAGCACGATGTCAAGGAGAGAAAGTAAAGGTTCCTTCCCGAGCTGCTATTAATAAATAAGGGGCTAGTGTGATACGTAAGTTAAGACAAAGGAAATAACCCAAGAAAGATTACGAGGAATATTGATATGAGAATGGGCCAACGAGTAGTTAATAATTGGTCAGGAACATCCCAGTTATGGCTAACCACAAGGTTACAGACGAGTCATCAGATTGTGTGAGATAAACATAGTAGAACCCGATATGGAGAGCTCAGCCTCGAAGAATATCATTATAATACTTGAGATATATTCAAACAAGAGTAGGGATAGTTAAAGATACCGTATGAGTATTACGGGGATAAAGGAAAGTGTCACTAGGAAGACAGTCAAAATATCAGTTCAGAAGCTACCATACAAGCACAAGGGCATGGAAGTAAGCAACTAGGGATGATTATAGGCAAGTAAGGACATCAAAAAGGTCCGTAATAAGCTCACAACTTTACCAGAGTCAAGGGTTCTCCCTAAGTACTACAATGAAAGATTAGCTAAGGAGATAAGAAAGAAGGCTTCAACCTAAGCACAATGACCTAAAGAGGAAATGGTCGTGTAACAACAATCTCGCAACAACATTATAAGCATTCCAAAGGAAAGTGGCACCTACCACGACTAATGAACGGGAAGTAAGAATTAAAAGTAATATTCGAGATCATATTAGTTGTATGAAAACTCTGGCCACTGTGGGCACTAAGATAAGCTATGTATGGATGTAACAAGGGGCAAAAAGACCAGGAAAAGTAATAGCTTACGTTGAAAGAAAGCTAAGAGCGAACGAAAGAATCATTCGATCAATGATCCAGAGTTAGTACGTTATGGATACACTCAAGATTTTGGAGAAGTATTCAGGCAACATATTTGTTGACAATCATACAGCCATAGAAGACTTCAGTATAAGTTAAAAAAAGAATTTAGCCCGGGCATAGACAAAGTACTGAATTGTTAAAAGATTGTATCATGGATATCCCATAACACCCATGAAAGGCTAAGGTAATAACTAATACCATGAGCCACATACTGGAAGATAACTTAAGCCTATGTAAAGGCTGATCAGAAGGAACAGGAAACTAAAGAAATTACATCACCCAAGTAAATAAAGAGTCTAATTATTGGACCTAGAAATATTATAGAAGATGTGCTTGGGAACATGACAGAATCACTCTTAATATCAGATGTTCAAGAGAAATAACACAACAACCATAATCTATA